AAAAAATCATTGATCACAGAAGTTTCCGGAAATCAAATTTTCAAAGGTGGAACTTAAAAACACAGTTTATTTTATTTGTTTGTAAGGGAGAGTCAGAGATATACTTTATAAGCTTATATTCATGATTAATATTCATTTTTTTATCAGTAAATAGTTGTTATAATCATTAACTCAAGAAAGAACGGCATATTTGTGAATTTTAATTACTTCTCCGGGTCATTATAGGTATGTGTAAAATTTTAAAAATATTTTAAGAAAACTAAGAAATAGTGAGAAAAAGGAAACATACATTGTTTAATTTTTTTCTAATTTTTCAATTTAAACTCTTTTTTTTTTTAACTCAAGAAATTTTCCGGAATTTTGACTTGAGCTCACAATCACCCCTGTAGAATGGAAAAGTTAAAATTTGATTCCTTTTTAATTAGAAAGATTTTCGGGTTTATAACTGTAATTGTATATACATTCCACAAACTTAGTTTGTTCTCTATCTCTTCTCTATTTTTTTTAAATGAACAAAAAATATTACTTGTTTCTAGATTAATCTAATTCTTCATATCCAATTAATTGGTTTTTCTATGACTTTTTCTTGGCTAAGAACAACTCAAACATTATTTTATAAAACTAATTGTGTAGTTGTTAAATAATGCTGTCAATTTTAATTTATGGGTCATCATAATAAAATATTGCTTCATAGCTGCTAATTCTACCAAATTTTTTTATAGACTACTGTTTTTTTTCTCCCTTCAATCTTTTAGTTAAACATATTCTTTTCTTTTCTTTTTTTTTTTTGCATCTTATAAACATAACATAAAAAGATAATTATTTAAAGATCAAACACTTATGAAAAGATCATACACTTTCTTGCAGGTGGTGTATTTTTCCCCCCAAATTTTAAACTTCAGGCTAACTGTATTCGAAGTTTAGGGTAACAAGAGAATTGCAAAATTTTCATCATACTAAAAATGGTGTTACATTGTTTAAATTAGAGAGATATTTTGCATGTAAACATGAGCTTATATTAATATAATAACTTAAATTAATATAATACCTTTTTAATTGTAATATATTTTATAACTCTATAATCAACATATACACTGTAAAATTTTATGTAAAATCGCAAATATATATTTGGAATTACATTTTTGTTACTGTTGTTAAAAAAATTTGTGATGAAAATATTTAAGTTTTCATAGTCTTCAAAAATTGAATAAGATTTTATTGAAAAAATAAGTCTGTGAATAAAGTTATTTCAACTGAGCAAAATTATTAGATAAAAATTTATGTGAACTAAATTAACAGCGATACTGGAAGTGTGGAACTAAATCTGAATATTTCAAAACATTTTGGGATCTTGTTTAGTTTTAAATTTTGATTTATTAATTTGTTTATCATCAAGAAACACAAATATAGTACTATCTCGGTTGAATGTTTCTCATGCTATTTTCTTGGGACTATTGATGTGGCTAAAAAAGTATGTAGGTCAGTCTAAAATATCCAATAATAGACTTGAAAACAGGATTCTGGCGTCAGTAGGGAAACTTCCCCTAGAATTTTAAACTTAAGGACTCTGTCTCCATATGTATGTAAACATGTACATGCATGACATGCTATAGTTTTTTTTTTCTTTTTTAATGTAAAAGAAGTAATCAATGCTACTGAGAAAAAAGTTGATGGCATAGCAGATTATTTATATTAATAAACCAGGGGTCTGTCCAGGCCGAATTTACTACCGTTTAGCGGTACCTTCACAAATTTCCTTTAGGACAAACGGTAGTTTAACAAAATACTTTTTCCTAAAATTTTATTTATGTATCCCTTAAGTAACGATAAATCCATATTTTTATCCTATTTTTGTGTTGATTTTTTAATATAATTTTTAATTTTTCTCAGATTATGTCTAAATTTTCACAAAATAGGTACCTCTCAGTCCTAGACAGATCCCTGTAAACATTTATTATGAAATGGAAAAACTGGCATTAAATATTTACTAAAGGAAATTTTTAAAAAAGTGGTTATGACTGGGAGAAAAATAATTTTAAAAAATTGTCAAATTGGAGCTCTCCAAGTTTCGAGGCAGAGAAAATAAAAAGAAATGAAACATGAAATAGAACTTGAGGAATATTTTTATAGAGACTCAATTAAAAATAATTTTTATAGAGGATCAAAATAAACAGAACCAAATAGTAGGAATAGAAAAAGATATGATGTTGGAAGTTAGTCCCTGTGTACTAAACATAGAAATAGATAGTGTAGTACCAAAACACAAATTGCTTTGAAAAATACTGTAAGTTGTAGAGAAAAATGGATGTCAAGTCATCCAAGAAAAATTGCAATGAGAAATGGAGAAAAGGATGGTTGCTGAGTCAGCCGGATCAGTTTTGTGGAAGAAGAAATAGCACTGCCAAAGTGCTATTTCTTTGTCGAAAATTTGTGAAATAGTCTTGGTAGAAAATGAAAAAAATTAGCCATATATGTGTTAGAACTGAAATAATTTCTGAAGTAAAATCTAGTAATCCTATATTATAGAGTAAAAATCATGTTAGTACTGAATCATCTGTTATGGATGAAACGAAGGAGATTGATACAAATAAATGCAATGAAAGTTTTTTGGAGATTGTCGGTATCAAGAGGGAGTCACATTAAGGCATTTGTCACAGAGAAAAATATTTTCAAGTAAGAAGATATCGAATAGTATTAGAGATAAAATTGAAGCCCAAGTGGTTAACATATCATTTAGTAACATATCATTAGCAAATAAGTTAAAGAATAAAAACACCAGTCAATGCTAAGGAAGTAAAATATTTTTATTAGAAGTAAAATATTTTAGAAGAACTTTTGTAAGAATGGATGGAGTAAGAATTGAATCAATGCGAAAAGGAAAATAGAAAAATATTTTGATGGAATTAGTTTTATGCAAAGAGTTAAACTAAAAAAGTCACCAAGTATTATTGATGATGAATTTATTGATACATGATTGAAACTAAATCAGAAACGATTTTGAGGAAGTTAAAGCTTTTGGGGGTAAAGATTCAAATGAAAACACAAAGAGCTGAATGTAATTTTGATCATCAAATCAAAGAAAACATGCATAAGTGCAAAAGATATCAGCCATATTGGAAAAATTACAATGAGAATTAAAGAAAAGTTTTGTCACCTGCACAAAGAATGAAAATCTAATGTACTAGGTAGAATTGGTGAAACTTGCCAGAAAATTAATCGATGGAGCTGGAAGCTTAGGGAAGATAATTGTGGTGATTCAGAAAGAAAAATTGGAGAAAACAGGACCTTGGTTTTGGAAATCTAGGAAGAAAATGAAAGAATATGGATCTCAATCAGATTAAGCTAGTCAGATATGGGTATTGAAAAGTTAGAAAAAGCTTAATACATTAAGAAATGAAAAATTCGTCACCTGCTTATCTGACTTAAAACAAATACAAGTTCAAATGCCAGACATTGCAATGCACTGGGCTTTAGCACTATAACCATTTTAATTTTAAAATTGTGGATAGAGCTGGCTAAGAACAAGAATGGAGATGGTTTTAGTAGAGTATCTTTGAGTTCTTAATTTAAATTAGATAAAGTTGATAAGAAGGTGTTAAAATGTTTTTTTATTTAATTTTTTTTTATTGATGTTTTATACAGTCAAGTCTTATTTTCGTTTTCATGTGTATGATTTATTCTGAACTAAAGTTTAAATTAAGCTGGAAATATAAATTTTAAAAAAATTGAATTTTTTTAAGTTGAGCCAGCCAAATTTAATTTGATAAAGTGTTTGAAATGATTGACTTGAAAATAAAACTTGGTGTTAAACAAATTTAATCTAATCACAGAGAAAAATGCTAGTGTTTATCACAGAGAAAAATGCTACATAATGCTTTTAAGTTATGAAACATATAAATAAGATTTGGTTTGGATCTTATTATATGAAATTTAAATGTGTTAAGTATTTGGATAAAAGATATCTTGCTTATCTGCATACTTTAGATATCATTGTATATTTGAAAATAGTTATATTTTTTGTACGTATTTTGTGTGAAGTTAAATTATAGTATTTTTTTAAGTTCTAATTTTATTTTGAACATTTTAATTTAATATCTAAGTTGAGTTATTAGTGAATGCTTTACTAATGTTTACTGCAAGAGTCTAAAAATAATTTAGTCATTTTAAGTTTTGAAGTTTGAATCTTGTACACCATTTCGAATTTAAAAATTGTATGTTGCATTTAATCTAATAATTAGGAAAATAAGTTTTAACAGGAAAATTTTTTGATTGCAACATAATGCATTATTATTATATTATAACAGTCGTTGAACAGCCGACCCAATTTTGGGTTTACGACTGCTATTGTTCAACTCCATAGCCTTGTAATTTTGAACCAATCCAGAGGATAAGGAAACTCCTGGATCAATACCTCCAGTGGTATGATTTGTTATGGGAACATGGAGGACTTAGATTTAGCGCGCATCAGTCACCATTTACTACACGGGGAGTCTTCGGCCGGTTGGGATCGAACCCACCACCTCTTGGACATGGGCTCAGTGCCCTACCAACCTGGCTATCCTGGCCTGCAACATAATGCATTAGTTTCAATCTATAATTTTGAAGAAGTTGGTGCTCAAATGAGTTGTTAAATGTTTAGTTGAGCTACTATCTTACTTGACTTAGCAGCCAAACAACCGCTTGGCTCAAGATGCTTTGTTATGGTGATCCTTTGGATAAGTGCACCCCAGACTAGTGACACTGAAGCACTAGTAGTGGAGCCATCTGGCCTCATTAGTATAATGTTTGTTTTTTTCCTTTATTAATTATACAAAATCTCTAAATTTCTCTCATTTATTGTTTATGGGAAAATTTGTTTTTATAAAATTTGTATTACATTTAAAAATCTTCTGGATATTTTTCTTTTTGAGTGGGCAGTTATGTTGCACACTCTAAAAGTAACACATACTGCTGTAACTTCTTTTGGTGTTGGTGGAAATTTTTTTTATTCTAATTTGTTTGAATGCAATAAAAATAATTATCATTTTTCTTACAGGTTGCATCGATAGTAATATTGGTTTGTGAGAAAGCTATGTCTGGAGATATAAAACTCGTTATGATGTATTTTCAATGCGGCAAACACTGTTGTCACCTATGATGAAAGAAAGGTTTGCTGATGAATGGTGCTGAAAATCTCACAATGACAGGGAGTTCAAACCCTCGTGCTGAAAATCTCAATTGGCTTTCTGAAGTTGCTTCTGCAGTTTCTAAAGGAGCTTTAAACAGACATAACCCTTCCCAAAGTCAAAATGTTAAAACTTCAGCTTCTGCTACAAATGTGCACAATTTGGGAAGAAACTCTTCACCTATGTTGATTGCCAATTCTAGTAACATGTTCTCTCCTTCCACAGTCTTAACTCGTACTTCAGATGCTAATAATGTGAGAATGTTTGCCACTCCATTTCACGTAGAACGCACACGCCAAGTTCAGCCTATTTCAGTTCCGATTACTGGAACCAGTACAACTTTGTATTATAGTCAAGCAACTCATACAACTCCGTATTCCAATTTTATTCAAGGAACATATTCTCCTTTGCCATTTTCAACTACTGCATCACAAACTCCTGTTACTAATCCACCTGTTTGTCATCCTAATTCTCAACGTTCCTATCTTCAGGTAAAACTAAAAAATCTATGAATTTAAAATGTCTTTCTGTTTGAATTTTTAAGAGATTACAGAAAGAGATCTCTATTAATTATGATGATATACCTATTAATTGAGCAAGGTTTTCAGACTTATAAACATTACTGAAATTGTAAATAGTACTTGCAAACTACATGCTTCTTTAAAAAGTAAAATCCCACCTATCTGCCATTAAATAGTTACCACAGTTATGGGGCAAAATTAGAAAATTCAGCTAGTGACCAATTGTAGCATTTGTGACAGTGGTCATTTTGTAATAACTTGTGGCCACTTTTTCAAATAATTAAAACTTCAAGCATAAAAACTGTTGATATTAATAATAGAAAGCATTTTTCAAAGTAAGGTAAACTTTACGAGATTCATTTTTAAAATAAATAAAAAAAAATTAAAAACAAGCATAAAATGACAATTTTCAAAGTAGTATTATTATATATTATTGATTCCATATTTATTTGAAAAGCAATAAAATGCACTTGTGGTGCATTCTTAACAAGAAAAAGTGGCAACTGGCAGGCCATTTTTTAATCACGCATTTGTTATATTTAGTCGACGAGTATCGGCCATTAATTTTTTTCTCTCCCCTAACAGGTGTTATTAAATAGAGCAATTGATTATGAATAATATTACGATTTCAATTCTGGTATTTTTCCTTTATTTGTACTTATGCTATTTTATTGAATTTACTAATATTAATAAATTATTTAGACTCTAATATTATTGCTATTTTTCTAGGTTGATAACTATCCTTCTCTTGTTAGTGTTCAAACAATTGGCTCTGCTCATGGCCAACTTCCTAATTCGCATAGCTATCTGCAGCGCTCACAGCTTCCTTCAAGTCCCACCAATCTGACATTATCATCATCCCTAAATCAAGGAAGGTTCTTTCAGCAAGGCAGGAGCATTCTAATCAGCAGGTCTCCAGAAGGTGTAGTTGTCCATTCACCTCTGGAGCGAGATCCAGCGCACATACAAATCCAACTTTCTCCTGTCTTGCCATCCGATGATATTGTTCAGAGAAAATCAATAGCATCTACTGACTCTATGCTTGGATCTTCTAGTTGCAGTCCAGTTACTGATAATGTCATGAACTCTGTTCAGGCCACAGACTTCTCTCTTCTGAAAGATCATTTATCCAATCAACCGAGCACTTCTCCGTCTCACATTGGCTATAAGTTGCCTACTGGTAAGGAAGGTAGCTTGAAGCACAGGATATTGAGACCACCTAGCATTAACATTGTTGACCCACCTCAGTCATTGGTTGCTGATGCACCTCTCTCTGCCCCACCTATCAGAACTTATCGAGAAGCTTCTCCCAAACAAACCAGATCTATTCCTTCCTCTGGATACCGTTCTTTCTCAAGCTCTGCTTCTTCTTTGACAGAAACTTCCAATAGAGCGGCATCCAGTGGTGTGAGCCCTAATAATATGTTTATTAACCACCGTTCTTCCCTGTCATCCGGATCTCCATCCCCTGCACCACCAATATCGCCTACATCGACAGCCCTAAAATATCCCCAATCTTTTATGAAAGGTGCCATCATCCAACTAGCCAATAATCAATTAAAAACTGTGGAAAATATGACAACGGAGGATTTTATCGAATGTGGTATTTTAAGTCCCACCTTGAAAATTGATTCGAGCACAGTCGTTAGCATTGAAAAAATGCCATCATCTGGTTCTGCTAAATTAGGTTTTCAAGTTGGTCAAGACAGTATTCAGGTATTCCTTTTTTTCATATTCTACTTATTTGTTGTCGATGAACTGCTGATCCAATCAGTTAATTTATAGTCTTCAACCATTGGTATCCTTGATAGCTGTAAATCAAGCTGATGGTTGTTTTACTTAGTTAACTAAAATTAATTTGCCTGCATATAGTGCAAACAAAATAGTGTGGTGACACCTTGAAATTTGAAAAATTAGATCACAACAACTTCTGGCATTTTAAATAGCTGTGAATTTTTCCATACTGAAATTTCGTGACAGCTTCATAATCAATATGGAAGGTGCTGGCTAGAGATGAGCAAAACATAACCTAACACTTGTAGAAATTGCATGTTATTAAGAGGTGTTATATTGAAGATGAAAAAGCAGTTGATGGTGAACCTCTTTCGATTAACGAGCCAGTTAAATTATGGTTAATTATTTTTCTGGAGTCCTGTGTTGATATATATATTAATTAATCTAAGCCACTGCTTTGATTTCAAACGAATCTCCTTGTGTAATTAATTGTATTTACTGTTTAGTTATTAAACTGCGTTAAATCTGAAACAACGTGGTTTCTTACTATCGGTTAAAAGATTCTTATTATTTGTAATTTTGTCTAGGCCTTTACAACTCATCACATTTATGTACTTGCCACACAAAAAACTAGCCTCCTCTACCAGTTGTCTTCTTCTATAGTGGAGAGAGCTTTATTCACCCTTATGTTCTGGAATTCCTCTTTAATGAAGGTTTTGGTGAATGGATTTGAGAAGTAAATTATTTTGTGCTTGTTGCGTGCCATCAAGGGGCACAAGTGTGATAGTTTTGCCTTCTTCCTTAACTCCTGAGAAAAGAGGGGCTGAGAAATTATCTTTTCAAAAAGGGAAGAAAGGAGATTGTGTAAATCTGAAATTTTGTTCCGAGTGTGATTGTTGCTTTACCTTTCTCAGGGAATATGTCGTGTCAGTGTTATGGTCCACTGTGGTAGAATGCAGTACGTAAACTTACTATAGCTAGGTTTAAAATATTATTAACCTGTTTGAAAAACAATCCCATTTTCTGTTAATGTGTTGTTAATTTACATTCTTTATAATTTATCATTATAATTGATTTATGCATGTAGTGAAGAAAGGCCATGTCCATTGATGATATATGATCATGATCAAAGGCTAGCTCATCAGTCTTGAGAACCACTTCTTTTATCAGCAATTCCTTATCTTTTAGTAATTTTTAGAAGTCTTTCGAAACAAGATAAATGAATATTTGTATTTTATTTTAAGTAACTACATAATGCTGATATGACTTCTGCAATTTTGATGAGCACTTAGTTATGCTGTAAATTTTAATTAAATTTTTTATTGATTCTACATTAAAAATTATTATTAATTATATTTTTCAAAGAAGATCTTTAAGTATTTCCCTGTTTACATAATTACTAATTTGTTTTGCCAATAGTTTAGATTTTAAAAAAAATACTAATAATGAACTTTTTAGTGGGCAAATGACTTGCTTTGCAAGCAACCAGCGTGTAGGACTTAGTCTTAGAATTTAGAGTAAACTTGACTCATGCTTAGAAATTAGTAAACTTGACACGTGCATTTAGCTAGATAAAATCCACTTTTTTAGCAACAAAAAAAAAACTTTTAATATCAACTTATGTCATCTTAAAATGCTCCAACTAATTTATCTTGACTTTCAAATGATTATTTAAGTTTAACTATCAGAATAAATAAATCATTAGAAGGTAGTAAAAATTTTTACTGTTCTCATAGTGTAAATCAAATGTTTTTGGAAAAAGTAAATATCCTAGTACAGTTAAAAAATTTATCAGGAACTTTGATAACACAAACTTTTTTGATATCACAAAAAAATATGCATTCTCAACATTTTTGCTATATAGGTAATAGTCTAAACAACATTTAGACAAATATATTTCTTCGTGAACCCTTGATTTCTTGAAATCTTTTTCATCACCTCAAATTCAAATGTTTTTTTTTTCTTCTTCCTATTTATTGAAGAATTTAAAATCCTTTCGTAAATTCCAACTAAAGTCTTCTTCTTCTTTTTTTTTCTTCTTTTTTTTTTTTAAATAGCTTTATGAACGAGTTCTTGAAGCCCTAATGAAAAAGAGATTGCCGTTTTGAAAATAAGTTATTTAAATCATTTACTAGGCAAGTAAGAGGCATGTGCTCAGATAAAGATAATAGCATGGATAAAAATAGGATGTCCATAAGGGAAAATAGCTTGATAACGTAATGAATTCAAAAGAGACTGATATGGAGTGATATTGCAGTAGGTGGAAATTGGGATGAATTAGAAGTTTTGAAACAGGGTAACAGCTTAAGTTAATCAGGATGTGTAGCATTTTTAAAAAATGCTTAAAGGTGCTAATTTTTAATTTATGTTTTTTAAAAGTGCTTCCATTCTTGGGTTTGTAAAAAGTGTTTAATTTTCTATCTTTTAAATATAGATTTTTTCTTTGTTGTATCGATTGTTGCTCTAAATTACTAAAAGTGCATGATTTTCATTGCATTATTTATCAGAAACTAGTTATTTTATCGTGATTATGTAAAGTTTTTGAATTTTATTGATTTTATGTTTATAAATTAAGAACTTTAAACGATAGAAAAAAATAGTTTTTATTACTGCACAGATCATGATTTTGATTTTTTTGTTTTTGGAAATTGTTTAAAAAATATTTTTTGATGAGCTTAAAAGGTGCTTATTTTTTGTTGAAAAATCTGGCTACTCACCGTGTTAATTTAAAACAAATTCCAGCTTTACCCTAATTATTTCTGTGTTAAATTGACCTATATTACTATTTTTCAAACTGGAAGTTTCATTTATTATTATTTTTTTTTAGATCACCGTGGAAGCACCATTAGAGCATCCTTTTTTTGTATACAAACGAGGCTGGTCTTCATGCTCTCCAGAACGATCGGCACAACGTTATGGGCTTTCATGTCACAAATTAAAAATTGGAGACACGTGTATTTCACTTACAGATAAAAGTGATTTCGAAAACTGTGAACAGAAAAACGTGAACTCCTGTGAAACAAATCTAAATACGTTAGATAAAAATCAAAATAAACTTGAAAAACCTACAGAAGACTTAAAAATTGAATCTGAAAACTTACCACTTATCACAAATTCTTCTTTAATGGAAAAAAAGTTAAAGTTGATTGCAGAAAAAACATCTTTTAAAGCAGATCAATCTACAATATCTAGAAAACGAAAAAGACGATGGTCAGCCCCTGACAATCTTTCCCAGAATGAAGAAGGTTCCAGTTCTTAATATAAAATGTAAATTTTTTTTATGCGTATTTACAGTGTGACCCATAAATGACTGACATTCTTCCTTGTATAGATGGTATTGCCATCTGTTGGAAATTTAACTACTAATTGTAGAAATTTATGAAAGAAAAATATTTTATTTTCTTATTTAATACAAGATAAGCAGGTTTTTTTCCCCCAAAAGCCCTAGTTAGTGATTATTAAGTTTTAGATTTTTTTCTTTCTGTTTCATATTATAAAATTGACATTTATTCGATATTTATAGAGCCGCATTCAAATTTCTGCATTTAATTCCAACTTATGAATGGAAATTGCAAAGCAGTTTTTAATGTTCAAAATAATTCAAACTACTGAATTCTCACTGTTCTGAATTTCTACTGTAGAAAATGATAATCAGTTATAAATTAATTTTTGTATTTTCTGATTTTTTTTTATTATTTTTTTTTATTCTTACTTCTATTCCTGGTTTTATAAATTAAAACTGTTTCAGGATTATTAAAAGTAGGTGTTTTTAGCTAACTCACTATAAATATAAATATTAACAGATTTTAAAAAATAGATATTTTTAAATAATTCAGCCTATCTGAATCTTGAAAATTATTCTTTAAAAGTAGGCTAATTGTCGGAAAAAATTTCTTAACTACTACTTTAAAAGTGTATTTAAGACTTTTTTGTTAATGATATAAAATATTTATATATATATATGTGTGTGTGTGTGTGTGTGTTAGGCAAAACTATATTGTTCTTAAATCTAAACCTAGTTAAAGAAAAAAAAGTGAGCTTTAAGAATAAAAGATTTTTTTTCTTTCTGCCAAGTCTTTAAAAAGGCTGTTGTTAAATGTAAAATATGTTTTATAAAGTCTCAAAATGTTTTTTTAAATTCTGAAACTAATTTTTTCAATTAATTATTATTCATGTGTTTTTCAATAATGAAAATTTGTTTAACTGTCAATTTGCTGCCCCCCACCCTCTTTCATCAGAGTGCCACAAATACTGTATTTATATCGTTTTTCATTTTTTTTTATCTTCGTTTCTGAAGTTGGTCAGTTATTTTTGGGACATTCTGTATTATAAATGGCTTTGCTTTATATTTTTACAGTTTCTAATATTGTGCTGTACATTCTGTGAATATATGTAAAAAGGTTATTTTCCTAGTATTACTAGTAAAAAAGCTTACATTTTTTTTCTTTCTTTTGATGAAGCATTAAATGCTAAAAAAGTTTCCTGCAACGCATGTCCAATTAAATTGCTTAGTTATTACTATTATTCTTCGGATTTCCTGCAATATTTTGTTTTAAATTTTGAAATTTCAACTGGAAGTTCAAATAAGTAAAATTTATTACTATTGACAATGGGATTAGTTCTGCATTAAAGTATGAAAATTTCTGAAAAAAATTCACAAGCAAATGTTCTATATTTTTTTTAGTATTTTTATGTACCATGTCTTTTGTTTTAATTTATTAATAGAAATAATTGTATCCTACTTTTATCAATACAAAAACACTTCTGTATTCATAGAATTAAATCAAAAAGCTCAAAATTTTAGCTTTTTGAATTCATGTTTTTAAACTAGAATATTACAAATTTTCCCATAAACCACTTTATTAAAGTAACTGTTTTAATTATTTATAGTGCAAGAGAAAATGAAATAGAATTTAATGTCAAAAAATTTTCTAAATTAGTTTAAAGTCTAATATTTTTATTAACACAACTTATTTATCAACTTAAGTTTTTTGTTATCCATCTATAAAAATAAAGCCATCCTATGTTAACCAAAGATGAAAATTAAGGTTCTGATTAATTACTGAAAAAATATAGCTTTCATTAATGTCTAGTTAATATCTTCAATAAAGCCTTTGTCTACTAATCTCTGTAAAATAAATTAGCAAACAATTTTTGTGAAAGGTAAACTAAGTTCATTAATTAAATAGGATTTCACTACCTACATCCAGATAAATCTGGCCATCTACACTGCAAACCTTAAGTTGATTGGTTTGAAATGTATAAATTTTATAACTGCATACATAAATTTTATAATTGTAAAGAGTACTCAAAACAAAGCTCTCTTCCACCAGACACAACAGGTGTAAATGATGAATCTAAACAGATATGAAAAAAGAAAATCTGAAAAAAACAAGTGACATAAGTGCAGTAACCAAAAAAGCAAATCAAAGAAATCTGTCCTGATTTGCATCTTAAGCCATCATTCCCGGCACCTTATGCAGTTTTTCTAGTAATTGTTTTTTTTTCCCCTCTATTTGTTGGCAACTTAGCATTTTTTTTTTAAATCATTTGTCCAATGTGTGTTGAGAATGAGACACACATTGGACATGTTAACTTTTTCTTTACTTATAAAGCAAATGAAGTTTTTCCATTGACTTGACATTTGTTTTATGATTTTTTTCATTATGACATTTATTTTGAAGAACGGGGGTTCGATCCCCAGTGGCGGCTTGAAACTCTCCCATCTTCAAAAAGATGGGTACCAGCTTGTTTTTGTAAAATATAGATGGCCTGTGTACAATGCTGATCACACTGTCCCAAACATGCCGTTAGTCGCGAAATTGAGGAGCCTTAACCCTCATGATCCCCTTCCCTGTCCCACTCAGGCTGTTGCAAGAATGCTTTACTTTTTTTAACTCTGTCACTTCTTTCTTTCAGTTTACCAATCTTTTCTTGATGAAGAATCGAAAAAATATAATTTCAAGATTTCTGAAAATCTGATGTTAAATAGAATAGTATTTAATTTTTATACCAATTATGATTCTCAATCAGAATTTTGTTTAATTTACTATTAATTTCCTCAAATTTTCATAATACCATTTGTTTCCGTGTCAATACTAATATTTTGATATAAAGGTATCAATTTAATTTACTTTGAATTTATCAATTTTGAATTTAGTCATTTACTTGAAAGCTGAGAATTTATTTTACTCTTTTTCTTGCAAATTATGTGTTTTAAATTTAATCATATCGAAATCAAAAATTACCTAATTACTTTCAGTAAACAAATATCTACATTAAAAAACCAATTTTCAATGTTAGAAGAAAAAAATTTTAGTAATTAAGATGATTTAAGCTCCTAATATTACAAAACATTTTTATGAATAAAATTTGATAAATATTAAGAAAATCTTGTATTGCAGTCAGAGGATAATTTTCTTAAACTAATATAGGAATTTGCCAATTAATAACGTTACATAAATTCTCTTTGTTTAAGAAAATTATAAATAAAAAGATAATGCTGAACTAAAAAGATTTGTCTATTTTTAATGAAGGCACTCTTCCTGATTCCAAGCTGTAACTGATGTAGCCAGAGCCGGATTATACCTTTCGTAGGCCCTAGGCATAGCCGTTTTTGGGCCCCCATTTACTAAAATTTNCCCACTCCTCCCCTCTTTTCAAAATATATGCTAAAATTTTCTTGCATATTTTTTTTTACATTTTTATTAATATGGATTTTAATTTACAATTTTTTTTTATCGAACTTTATCTGCAATACCGACGTACTGCCGATATTGCAGTTGATATCGACAATACCATTATGATTAGTTCGATCGATAACTATGTAAGCACTTCACGTCAACAATACAACAACAAAACAGTGAAATTGATAGTAAGATTAATTACAAGAAATATTTATGCTACAAATAGCTTCATAATTCTCATGATAACTAAGTGAAGGAAATTAACATTGTCAAAAGTTAATCTTTTGAAATTATTTATAAATAAATTTGCAAGGTACGTTAAATGTTTACTAACAGAAAAAAAATTATTTTTGTCTACAAATTTTTTTTCTCCCAAGTTTTTCATTGGCCCCTGAATTTCGTAGGCCCTAGGCAAGTGCCTATAGGTTAATCCGGCCCTGGATGTAGCCTTTGTATAATTATAAATGAATTCATATGCACTATTTTATGATATAAATAATTTCATATATCATACAATTTAATATCTTCTGATTTAAAAGTTTTGAAACCATAGCCCTGATTTAAGATGAATTGTGCAACGTTATTCATTTTTTATCTTCACTCAGTTTTTAGCATACTTTTTTCCACCTCTCAAAAGCTACAAAATTTTAACTTTTATATGGCATGACCATATTACCGTTCGTCACAAAACTGTGGAGCTTTAACCCCCTTGGCCCACAATGTGCTGTAGCAGGAAGATTACTATAATAGATTTTAAAACATATAATTTTTTGATACAATAATTAGATTTTACAAGAAACCACTCATAAGAATTAAAACAAGTAGTTAAATAATGCATTACTTAACATAAATTATTTTTCTATAAAATGCTTTTTTAAAATGGCAGGTGGCTTTAATATACACAAGAATCACTATTCAGAATAATTAAAACTTTTATGAAAACTATTTTACGTTACTATAAGTATTATTGTTACTTTATTTTTTTTTAATATTAGTCATGTTATTCAAAATTAATACATTTTTGTTTAGTATACCAATTAATTTTGAATAATGAACTCATAGTATCAGTCTTTTTATTGATTAAGTTGACTAAAAAAATTACTTTTAACGAACTTTTTTACGAAATACTGTAAATATATTCAAAATTATAATTAATGTGGCATTAGAACTATGCAGATCTTGATTTTTATTGTTAATGAATGCTTCTAAATTGTTGCAATTCCACTGTTAATGAAACACTTAAAATATATAAATAAATGTTACATGATATTTAAATTATATATATGTATAACATTAGTTAAATTGTTGCTTGTGTTTTTTATTTTATATATTGGAAGTTTTGTCATAAAAAATTGCTTGGCACTTGTAGATTTTTTTTCTCCCTAAATTTGAAATTATACTTTTTGCATTTTCTGTCTCCTATTTTCTATTAAGCTACTCTAAAATTTACCTTTTAATCAAATTTTATCTACTTAATATAATTTATTTTTGCTAAAAACAATACTTGAAAACGTTATTAAAGTTAAATAAAATATCTTAAACTTCAAATATGTAAAAGTTTTTATGTGCCAAAAATTTTCTATTTTTGCATAAGAAATAGTAAAATGTATAGTTGTTCATGGTTTTTAGGGTTTTGCATTGTTTTGATATGTTACTATTTTTGTTTATGTGTTGATGAAAAATTAAAAAAAAAAAAAAAGAATCATTGTTTTGTGACTTATTTTTTATTTATGAGTAAGCACATTTGTCCAATTTTGTATATGATATCGGTTCTCAAAGAAGTTTCGTAAATATCCACAATTTAAAAATGAGCTATGTTTCCATAAGCCGAACAATTTGGGAAAACTTTGCAGTTAAAGTCTCTGGCTAGTTCCAGTATATTTTTTTAGCTGCATACAGGTATACATTGAACTTAAAGAATATGCATGAATTGTTTATAAGATGCATGCAAAAGCTGTGCTGGATTGAAAACGTAAGACAGTTTTAAAATGCAAATGATTTTTATTCTATTGGTTTTTTATTGTAATCAAATTAAAATACTTTAGGGGCCAGAGACTTTATCACACCGCTGCATATTTATTATTGAATTTCATGTTGAATTATTTTCTTTAATCTTCATAGGATCGACAGTTTGGGTTTGGAATTAGAGGATTTCTTAGTAGTAGTATTCTATTCTGATTTTTTTTTATTTAAAAAATTAATGTAAATGAAAAAATTTATGAAATAAAACGAATTGGGGAAACATATTGAAGTTTAAATAATAATTAGTTTGTTTTAATTTCCTGCATAAAATAAGCAGGGATAGTTCTTTATCGCCTTTACAGAATGTGGGTCAGTCATCTTGAGTTATACTCGCTTATACCCTCATATAAGAAATTTCACTTTGAGAAAGAAGTGCTACCGTACTAGTCACGTATAAATTCAAGCAATTAAATCCTTACAACAAGAGAATCTGAATATTATTATATTGTAATTTATTTACGTCGCTCTAGAGCTGCGCTGTTGGCAACGGTCTGGGAAAAATCCTTGAGGATGATCTGGAGTAGTGACGTAGATTTTCGCCTAAGATTAGAAGGAAGTGAANCTTAGGCGAAAATCTACAAAAATCGATCTGGAGACATGCCTTCACAATTTTAATCCTCTGCCGAGAGGATGATACCCACGCTTCGGTAGTTCGACGATCTGCGTGCGAATTCGAGCACTTTAAGGTAGACAGTTAATGGTGGACAGATACCGCACACTCTGGGTGCCTTTGCAGGATGATCAAAGTGGTACCCCACCTGCACTTAGACCGTATTTAATCAACTGAAGCCTGAGTTTTTTTAAAAATTTGTCTTATAAAAAAAAGAATTTTTTAATGCTGAAAACCAAAGTTTAAAGATTTTGTCAAGTAGCTAATGAATACCTGAGTTCCTTAAACATAACTTTTAAAATCTTTATATACTGTATAAACCTGAAAATCACAAATATGAACCACAACACGTTTAGTGTTTATTTCCATTGATAAAAACTAACGATCGGAAGATTCCAGGAGTTTTCTAAGACACCACTGGAGATTATTGTATTAAAGATAAGTTTCGATGAATTAGTTTAATAATGAGCAATATAGGAACATAAAAATAAATCCTATTGGTTTTATTTGTGTTAATACGAACATCCATGATGATATGTAAATGTACGCATGTTTGTACATACGTTTTGTTTGTACTTATGTGTATATACATATAATGTATGCATTTACTTAGATAGCCTTCGTGGATCAGTGTCTGTAGTTCTTAAACTTCTAGTAGGTGTTGCATAGGTTCGCTACCACTATTCTAGGAAGTTTTATTTTAAAATAAGGATTTAAGTTTTCGAACAAATCAACATTCATTAATATTCACCAAGTTTCATGTATCTAATCAGATCGCAAGACTAAAATTGACTTAAACGTATTAGGAATGGCCAATAAATAAATTGAATGAACTGTTATCTTATAAGTATTAGCACTCATTTTGACTGTTAATATTTTTAACATTGATTAACCTCTTTATAATATTATGAGGGCCGTCTTAATAGCGTGTAGGGTACCGAAATGTTTTAGTTTTAAGCCTCTATAATATATCATATTGTTTGAAATCGAACTGTAAAACTTCACATACATGAAATAAAGTATTTTTAAGAACAAAATGAACATAAAAAAAAACATTTCTAAACTACGCATAATTTTTTTCTTAAAAAAATGATTCGAACCATTTGCAATCTTCAGATAATAAAATGATTTTCAAAACCATGGCAGCTAATTGAAATGAGTAAATTTAAAATATAGAAAAACATAACAAATCAAGAAAAAAAAATTAAAATGGCATGAAATGCTTTATAACTAGATTAAAAGTTGTTGTACCATAGTGCTGTGTAATTCTGAACTCTTTCGCTCATTACTTTCTTTAACTAATTTTAAATACTGAACAGAGTTGGGCGGGTCAAGCATTTTTAGAGTCATTATGACTTAACATAAAACTTGCTCACATTAATTTATTTTACAGGTGTGTATGAACCTTGCATGCGCAAATTGAGCAGTAAATGAGAGTTGAATACTTCATTGGAATGTAGAAAAATAGATGTCGGTTGCCTTTAGTTTTCCTGGAGATAAACTATTATTTGCATGATAAATCAACTATTCACTGTTTGTAGTAAGAAAAACAAAATGTCCACTTTATACAATAGAATATATATATTTTAAACTATAAGTCAATGTTGCTTTTTCTTAGTTTTCTTTTAATGCATTTTATGAAAAATAAGACTCTCAAAGGCCCCCGGGCGCACTATCCATGCGAAAAGACGGTACTGAATATTACTTCGTTTTCTGCTCGATAGCACTCTAAATATTGAAGAAAAGAAGTCAGAAAAACTTAGTTTGTAAAGGAATAACATCGCAACAGACTAATACCACACTTGAAATTTTTAACGATGACGTAAATTCGGTTTTGGCGTGAAAATTAATCGGAATAGTAACCCGGAAGTTACTATTTTTATCTGTGTCGATACTAGCGTCATCTTTGTGTAATAATATTTCAGTTTCTTGAGTAATTGTGGTTAATCCAGTAAACAACTACTCAACTTTAAAGTCACGTGCTAATGTCTGTTTACAAATTAGTTACGATTTCGAAACTTTATCTTGTCGAAAATTTAGAAAGGTTTAGACTTTTCTGCAATTTATTAGCCCTGTTTAGGGAAATTATTTTAATAATAACAATTTTGGGAGTCGGTTTAAAAAAATTAAATATTAATTTTATGAAAGGAATGTGCAAAAAAAGTACTTGAACGATCAGTTATTATTATTTTAACAAGTGTAATTTAAATTTGCTAAGAACTTCACTACGCTGAATAATTTTTTTATAGAAATGCTTAACAAATAAGTGTTTGGGTTTTTATTGCTAGTTTGTATGGAAATAAAAGTAAAGAGCTTTGAATTTATGAATTACTTTGCATTTTAGTAATCTTTACAATCTGCAATGTATGTAATTTGATTTCAATATATCCTCATGAAAATGTAATATGAACCGAAAATAGTTGTTCTTTAATTTTTTGATCTTGCTTAACATAAAAACTTCTGATCTTCTCTAGTTTTGTTGCAAATGGAATATTTGGATCCTTTCCGTATATTATATCGATATATATATTTAATTTACCATAAATTTTAATTTAAAAAAGTAATTCTGGGCATTTTACTGGTTTTAACGTTTGATGAAGTTCATTGGCAACCAGAGGTTTTTATGTTGAAAGAAGTCAATTTACTTAAGACAAACTGGATTCCTTTTTGTTAGGAACTGAAGTTTATATTTGCTGTACTCATTAGAAATTAAAAATATGTGAAGTTGTTGGTAATACTGTACTGGTTAAATTTGATATTTTGCTTGTGCTAAATCATAAAAATGTTCATCTTAATGATCAAGGTTTAATATCTTTTATCATAAAACTTATGGCTGCCAAACAGATAACTAATATTGTTATTTGTTGGTTTTGATAAGAGAAAAAAAAATTCGATTATTTTAAAATAAGAAGAATATAAATTTTAAAAAAACATGGAAATGCATCTTTTAACAAACCAAATTGTTTTAATTTAAAATAAAAGTCGATTGAGCTAGTTTCTTATTGAAGCTATAGGCTTTTCGAACTATTAATGTGTTATGCATGTAGTTCATTTTAATGCCTTTCTATTACAGTTATTTTTGTTGAAAATAGATTTTATTTCATACATTTTAGATAGAAGATTTTATTTTTGTAGAGTAATATTTTATTTACTTAATGCAATTTGTTATAGAACGGAAATTATATTTTACAAAAATTGAATTTAAATGTCGTCATGACTTTTACTATGACATTTTATTTATACAAAAATATTGCAAATTTGTTGTTTTTTTAGAATTGATTAACCAAATTAAGTTAAGTAAATTTATAAATTTTATTGTATAAATTGAATAATGAACTTTTTTTTATTTATTTCACATTTAGTTAACAGGTATGTTCTACATAAAATTTAAGGAGTTATGTTCAAAGGTGTAGATGCTCTAGGCATGATGAGTATAATCACTGGAATGCGGAGGGATAAAGCCTCTTATTTAATTAATAAAAAACATTTAAAAGTATAAAAATTTAATTACATATAATTTAAAATATTATTTATGTGATTATATAAGTGAAATTCATTTATAGTAAAAAAAAATTTGAAACAAAATCTTATAATTTTCTTTAAATGTAAAAAATATTTGTATTTTATTGATTATTTTTGTCTATAGTATTTTAATACCCTATAACTTCATTATTAGATTGGTTTAAAAATCATATTAGATAGGCATAATTATATTCTTTATTAATCTTGATCTTAACATTTACCTGCTAAATTTTTTTATTTAATTAAAAATAATAGTTGGACTAAACATATTAAATTTAATATTTTAGTCATCCGAAATATTAATAGGTACCTACATATTACATCCAAAGTTTTAGTAATATATACGATACGTCCGTTGTACCCCTCTCTCCTACATCTGTGACAAAGGAACATTTTTTTGGCGTTGAGGAGAGATTTCTTTTCAAAATTTACATTTACTTAGCAAATAATAATAAATATCTATATCAACAGGGGTAATCAAATCAATTGTAAATATTTTCTCCTTTGTTTATCAATGAAAAGGAATTTGTTAAAGTATCTCTAGAACTGTGAATTATTTGATAATTTGAAATTATTTTCATATAAATTTTCTCATAAACTAAACAGTGTTAACTTGTAAAATAAATTTAATTGATAAATCCTTCTTTATAATTCAGGGGATATTTCCGTATCGTGATCTGTCAGGCCAACTACAATTGTCTAAGCACCAAATTAATTTTAAACTTGACACCAAAGGAATTAATAATAAATAAAAAAAACCCACATAGAAGTGGGCCCGGGGGAGGCTGCAAGTTCAACCCTTCAAGTTAATCCAGGACTAAAATGTAACTATTTTTGGCATGAGGTGACTATGGCAACTTTGTTTGCCTGAAACGGCTAAAAAAGCAACTATTTTCAGGAAAAGGAGACTATTGGGAGATTTTTCTGAACTCCTAGCAATGTTTTTTTTTTCAAGCATAAATTGGGTGGAAAATCTGCACTCCACAAGATAGTTTCTGAACACACCGAACTTTTTTTTTCTTAAAAAGTTTTGAATTGCAAATTTGTGCCATCACTTTTTAATTCATTCAATCTGCACAGACTTCATTGTAAGTCTATTTCATTTCTCGATCGCCTTTTCAATGATTATTGCTACGAAATTCCTCATGATTAAAAAAAAAAATTTAATACGATATTACGATACGTGAATTTCGAATTTTCACTTTTCATATATATATATATAAACATTTACGTTTATATAAAAATTATATTTGCCACCAACTTGACTGAATGGATCATAGTATATGACAATTAAGTCATTACAAAATTTTAGTCATATTTTTGTTCTTATTTAGGCAATTATTTTCCCAGTTTTTGGCTACTATTTTCATGTTTTAGGCTACTTAAAGCAACTATTTTGTTAATTTTTGTTCTGTGGCAACCCTGTTAATCCCATCCTGTGATATTTTTTGTTATTTCCCCGCAGGCCTCTGCCCAGAAGTCGCCAATACTTGGCAACTATGTTGGCGCACATCATGATATGGAAATATTCCTATAATTGAATTTGTAGTTCCAAAATACTGTTGTATAAGTTTATTTTCCTTTTTTTAGATTGATCCAAATGGCATCCCAGCAACCAGTGTTTCAAAGCAATGCAACTTATTATGATTCACCTTCTAAAACTTGGAAAACTGGTACATTTGCTTTGACAAATAAAGCCATTCAGTTTCATTGCGATGAATACAAAAATATCAACATACCATTGAATATAATATCTGGTTTAGAGAAAAGACAATCAAGTTTTATTTATGCTGCAATCGTTGTTTCTGTTGCATCTGATAAACATTGGTTCTCCTCTTTTGCCAATAGAGATAGCCTGTACAATTTAATTGTTCTCTTCTGGAGAGAGGCACTTTTATCTAAAGAACACAAAACTACTTCACAACCTAAATCAGCAAGCACAAACTTAGGTAAAGATCTTCTAAATCTTCTCCAGGAATCTGAAACTACGCTGGTCAATGCTGCCAATTCTTTATCTGCTCAAGGGCAGCAGATTGAAGAAACGCAAACAACAGTGGAAGACATCAATACAGATTTGAATGTAGCTGAAAGGTTTATAAAAAATATGTCTTTCACTCAATCTTTGTTACAGTTGAGTACTAGTCCTAAACTTTTGAATCGACAAGAACCACAGAAATGTTTTAAAGTTACCTTTAATTTTACTGACTCATCAAATGAGAACTGCTATTGGAAAGTTGGAACATTATTGGTTGGCGAGAATATTTCTTTGGTTGATGAAAACAGAGTTAATCAACTTTCTGTCAAGTATGATGAAATCATTTCTGTTGAGGTACTATTAGTTATGTTTTTCACTAAATCCATATTAAGTGTATCAGCATTCAGCATTTTTTGATTTCATGTACATATGTAAAAATTCTTCTTATTTTTTAAAAAGTTATATTTTACAGTAAAAAAAATATCCAAAATTTGCGAATTTTTTCCCAATGAAAATTTTGTTTGAAACTATTCTTTTCGAGATAAAAAATATTTTATAAAAAAATAATAGCTTTAACATTTGGTAATAAAAAATGTTCTCATAAAAATTCTTTTATTCATCTGAAAAATTTCTTTATCCAGTTACATATTTTTAAAATATTCATACATTGAGAATTTCCTTAATTTTCATCTCAAAATGTTGACAAGAATATTGCATTTCGATCAAATAACTTTTATCTATCTTATCCTTCTGTCCTCTACTGAAAATATTATTTTTTTCTAATTAATTCAAGTTAAAGGTAAAAATGATAAATAAATGCTAAGAGAGTTATGAAAAAAAGGTATGGGAATTTATTTTAAAAATATTAATAACTTTAACCTTTTCCTACAAAAAAGTAAAAATTACGTATGGTGAATCCGGCCTCCAAAAAAATATTAAAATAGGAGGGTAGAAACATAATATGAAATTAACAGAAAATAAAAAGGAAAAATAATATAGTATTGCAATATTAGTTTAAAGTTAATTTCAATTAATGCATTCATTGTTATTTAAATGTTATGTGAATTATTTATTTAAATTTAATTGTTTGTATGTAATTACCACTTGCAAACTTAATTTATTAAATGTAATTGGCAGGTGATGTCATCGTGGAAACTTTGTCTCAAGTATTCGCATGATGATACAGAAAATGCTTGTTACATTATGTGTCCAAAGCTTGAAAAACTAGTGAAATTTTTAGGTTCACTTTCTTCAATAAGTGGAAAGATATTTTACTTAGAAGATATCAGTTTTGCACTTAACACTATGCCTAGTTCTTCAATTGGTAAGTGGAAAATAACTCATTAAAATGTTCTACTTATAAGAAAAATTGTATAAAACTTGATACTCGTTGTCTTATTATTACTTTATTGATTTCTATATTTCCTGAGGCAGAATTTAAAATATTATAAACCATATAAAATTATGTTTATTTTAAGTAAGGATTTCTTTTTGTATTTTCGAAATTTTTAATCAATTTTCTGAAAAAAATTACAAATGTATTTATTTAGAGGTTAAAGTAATGGTTTTTTAAAATTGAACTGTAATATAGCAAATGTCATTGGTGCAACTTGGTAGATGTCTGACTCACCCTAGGAAGTTGAGAATCATAGAAATTTGACCCCAAATAAAAACTATGTTATACTCGTATACATGCTGACATATTTTTTAAATATAATTTAGAATTAATGACTTAAAATTATTTAATCACTTTTTTGGTAGAAATATCATGCATCTAACATTCATAACAATTCAATTTCTCTGGAACTTTTGAACTGATTTTGTTTTAAAAGTTCTATAGATATGGTGAAATATGTAAGAAGTAAAATTAACATGAAGGGGTCGAAACTTTAAGCTGCTTTTCCGAAAAAACTATTGTGAGCATATTTTCCAGATTGCGGCTACTCGCTATATTTTTTGCGTTAAAAATTCGAATCTGTCAAAAAAAGTGTATATTTATACTGAGAAAGTACGTTTTTATATCTGATTTCGTAACTTGTCACCCCCTTAAATCATTAAAATTGAGTCCCTGAACCTAAAGATCTCATTATTAGATCAAAAGTTCTTTAGGGTGGTCCATTAATTTTTTTAAACACTATACATATACCCATTAGTGCAAATAAATTATCAGAGCCTCCATGAACAAAGTTTTTTTTTTTCTTTATTGGAAAAGAAAGTTTATATAAGAAAAAAAGCTTGAGTTTATACAATTCTTGAATAAACGAGTATATATGTTATTAAATAATAGAAATCAAAATATATTGAAAAAAGTAATAAATTTAATTGAAGGTCCTACTTGTAAACTTAAGGATAACATACATAAATTGAGGTATATTTTTTAACAAGAAAAAGTTTTGCAAAGCAACACTTTTTTAAACAAAAAAATTTCCCATGGCTCCTTGAATTTCATCCAAAGCCTTGTTTGTGCAGTCAAACATATTCTGCTCCCCTGAATATAGTTAATGACAAATATTGAGAATCAATAAAAAAATTTATTCATTGAGATCAGACAATTATTGCCTAATACTTGAATTTTACTTCATCGAAAAAATCTACCTAAATTGTAACAAAAAAGAATTAAAATCAATATTTAGGTAAATAATAATTAGCAATTCACAGCCCTGATAAGAACATGCCAATTTGTTAATCCCATTAATCTTTGCATTTTTAATACCCTCGAAACACATCAATTTAATTAAAAAAAATTTCATGGATTTTTTTTAAATTTCAGCTTCATGTAGTTCATCTTTTCTTCCATCATCAACATCTCCTCAGCGTCATAGTTTGCTGCCAAAAACTGATCAAATTCAAGAAGAATTAGAATCAATATCCGAAGAAGATATTCAAGAAATTTCTAACATGCTGAATAATTTGCAAGACTTGGCTTTTGAAATAAATAAAGAGCAACAGTCACAAATGGAAAAAATTGAATCTCTTATGTCAAATGTTGAAAAAACTGAACTGCGCATGAAGGCAGACTCTAAAAAAATTAAAAAGCTTACTTGAATATTTGTGTTATTTTTTGTACAGTTGCTATGCCTAAGTATTTTGTGCCAACTTTCAGTTTTTGTGTAATTTTTTATACAGTTGCTATGCCTAACTAAGTATTTTATGCCAACTTCCAGTTTCACTAATTTGTTAATTTTGTGCTAAGTATATTTATAAGTGCAGTAGAGCCTCCATAATTATTTGAAGTAATTGGGATGGGAAATGCTTTGGATAAAACATTGATTTTCCTCAATAAATCTGAAAATTGAGTTTTAATGCTATTTAAAAGTTAATATGAACTTTGAAAAATTTATTTTTTTTAGGTAACAGGCAGAGCTAAGATGTGATGATAATTCATTTTTTTCTGAATATAGGGTATTATTCCTGTTTTTTTCTTAACTTTTTAGATATTTATTCCTTTTTAATCTTTTTTTTTATGAATGATATTTTACATTGAATCTTAGTATGTATTTGTAAATATCCTTCGATAACAAGTGTTGATGTTGAACAACATTTTTCAAGATATAACAATTGCATTGCTTTTGAATAAAAGACAATCTTGCTATCTGAAGAATATATAATATGACATTCCAATGTTTTTGAAATATTTACTAAAAATTCATGAATTCTTATTTATATTTATCAAATATTCATTTAAATTTTATTTACATTTTTATTTTATTTATTAAAGTTATAAATATGATGGAAAATGATTTTTATGAAAATGCTAATATTTAACATGTAATAGTAAATTTTGTAAAGAAATTATTCTTCATTTTTTTCAGAATTTTTAGGTCATCCGCACCTTAACATTATGTTAATGAGATATTTTATTTTAAAATTCACTTGCTCTAGTGCTGGAAATAGCAAACTCCTTTGCACAAATGGTTTATTTTTTTTATAAAAAAAAGGAGCAAAGCTGCACCCAATTTTAGTTAGCTGATTCATTGATTTATATTCCTTTGCAAGCTTTAAGGTTATCTGACTCCATTCACCTGACCACATATTTTTCTGCACAAATAACATGTTTTCTTTCAACTAAAGTTGAAGCTTGATGTACCTAAGCTACACATGTAATAATGAAACAATGGTTAAAACTTTACTTAAACAGAGCAGCCAATTAAAGAAGTAAAATGCTCCCGCAACAGCCCATTGGAGGTTAAGGCTCCATCCACAATCTTTTGATGAACAATGTGATTGTGGCACTGTGATCAGTAACGTGCACAAGCGGTCTTTACTTCCCTGACAAGCTCCTACTCGAATGGTGGTTGGCATTGCACCAACTCTAACCATTGACATTTGCTCAGTGCCTTCTTTAATCATTGAACATGCTGTACAAAATGATTTTAATTATGGAATGGAATAAATTGTGGAAGGAAAAAAAATTATATTCACAGGTTAAAACGAACTTAATAAGCGACTTAGGTTAACAGAGGTTGAAATAATAAGAGGTTCTATTGTAATTGGGCATTATAAATTAATTAGCTCACAAATATTATATAGCGGTGGATTTTTTAGCCTACATAATTAAAACATTTAACATGCTAATTTTTTTTTATATTGTGTAAATTATAAATATATAACTTAGAGTTAATTTAGATTGTGTTTTCCAAGCAATATTTTAAGTGTAATTAATTTACTATCCCCTGAGAATCCCAGTAGCAGTATTTCCTATATGCCATACCACTGCTAACATAAGTTCAAAATATTTCATCTAAATTAAAAGCATGGAGACAACACAAGATAAAATAAAATACATTTAATAGCTTAAAATACACATATTTAGATTTGGGCATTTATATACATTTGAACACTAATTATTTTAACAGAGTGAACAGATTGAAGTTATGTGTTTAAAAAACTTGTCTATAATTTTTTCTTTCTAAATCATAAATGTTAATTGTAATTGCAGTTAAAATTTTGAAATAAGCTCACAAGTTTTAAAAACTTCATTTCAACAAAGAAACATCATGCATATTTTAACAATAGATAAGATTATTTACAGCAATGTATCACATGTATGCAGGAATTTCTTATTTTCAAAATAAGCATCAAAACCCACAATTAAAAAACAAATTAAAATTTTAAAATGCAATAAAACTAGTACTGAAAATTTTAGTAGAATTAGCATTCCATTTGATATTAAGCTATTAATGACAAAACTTTTGAGAATTAACAAAATTTTCTTAAAAGAGAATTATAATTGTTCATTTTCAAACATATACTTTTTGCGAGAGATATATTTCAGTTCCATAATTTAAAAAAAAAATTTTTTTTTTACACTAAAATTTTCTAAAAAAAATGCGATTTGTGAAATTCAACATAATTTTATGAAATTGAATTGGCTCACATGCAATATTTCAATTTTTAAAAGTTAAATAATAATTTTATTAATGTAAAAAAACATACAAATTTTGTATTGTTTCATAGTGCTGATTATAAGCATGTGTGTTATGTAAAATATCACTAAATAGATTTCAGTGAACAGAAAAACATTTTTTCTATCTAGGGGGACATTTACTATAAGCAGCAAAAGATTCATCTAAACATATAAAGGAAAATTTCAGTAATGAATTAAACATTTTCTAATTTTTCTGTGATTTCTGTAAAGCACTTTTTACTGAGTTCAATTAATGTAGATTTAGAAATCTTTTTAATATTATCTTTCTCCAACAATAATTTTGCAACTGCTTCAAGCATATCAGATTCCATCTCTTCTTCCATTTCTGCAAAAAAGATAAATAAATAAGAAAAAATGAATCTTAAAAAAAGAACAATTTGAACTTAATATTGGATTGTGAAAAGAAAAAGAAAAACATCCCCTTAATTTATATACACATTGAAACTTTCATAATTCTAAAGCAGTAGGTCAAATGTGCTTTTAGCTATCAAAATTTTGACAAACAAAAACTTACTTTTTTTTAAAAATTTATTCAGGGTGGCCAATCAAATCAAATTTCCTTGATTTTTTTGGGAAAAATCTTAAAATTTCCAGGTCAGCATGTTTTTTTCCCCCCTTACAAAGAGAAGGATGGGTACTTAACACCTAAGAACAGTGTCAATATTTTAAAGTATTTTATTAAAAATGCAATTTTTTAAATATATTATCTCGAAGAAAAAAAATAATTTGATTTATTTTAACCACTTAGCAAGATTTTGTTCTTGATTTTTTAATATTTTGGTATATTAGTTTTTAAAAAATTATGATAGATAAGAAGAAAATAATATGTTAAGCTTATAGAATATCTAGTTTTTATTGTATAAAAAATATTTTAATGCGTTATTTTAAGTAATTTTTGCACAAAGTGTACCAAATGAAAAATAAAGAGAGGCCCAAAAAACCTTGTCTTAGTGTTATTTATATTTCTTTTAAGCAAAAGAAAACAAACAATACATTTTAAAATTTATTTCTGCTTTGAAATATAACTATTTATTTTTAAATATAGAGCCCTTTCATAGTATATTGTCCAAACAGTGCTCTTTGCAAAATACATTGAAAATATTTTCTTAAAACCAATATCCAAAGTCTAATGTATAAATAATGTTTTTTTGAATTTGCACTATTATGTCAAATTTCTTGTTGCATACTCAATAGAAAAAAAGCTAGATAAAATTCTTTAAATTTCATTTTTTTCAAAATTTGAAATCAAAATACTTTTATATAATAGTGCCTTTTTTTTTTAGTTTACATTAGTTATTTGCTATTTGTTTTTTGCAACTAGGAACCTGTACCTGTAGAGTACAGGTTGTCTTCTTACTTCCTAATAAATACATATCAATAAAAAAATTTATATGCAATATTTATGCATCATTTAATTTGTTTTCCATACACTCCATAGTTTTTTAGGGAAAAAGCTGAAACTGTTTTGGAAATATCATTGCTGAAATGTAAGCAACAATTACAAACTTTCAACATTGTGATTCACTGCACAATTCAAATTTTGAATCAAAACTCTAATACTATACTCTAAGCAAAACAGAGTAAAAAATAAATGTTATCAACATATAGTTGGTTTTTATAAGAACCTTTCAAGAAAATTAATATCAATGCAACAATTATATTGATTGGTTTACAAATTTTTGAAATGCTTGGGAACATTACATTAGAGTGAGATTTGATCCACTAAGACATGATTGGAAAAAAAAAGAAATATACTGTTAGAAGCAATGAACAAAAATGTATATACATTTTTGTTCATTTTTCTAACTTGTCTTTTGGAAAAAATCTCTTTTTTTTTTCAATATGTGAAACTTAATACATGATATGAAAAAAGTTTTAATGCCTATAGGAATATTTAGAAAAATTTAAGATAAGTTTCACTGAAAAATTAATAATTTCTTTCTTTTGCTATTCCCAGAGTTTTATTTCAGTATAATTTTGATGTAACCACAAAAGTTTTGATTGAAATTTTAGGGAAAAAAGAAAAGAAACTAAAGTTCACTGACCTCAGAAACTGCAGACACAGTTACTTTTGCTTTGTTCACTCTTTTTACCTTAAACTTATTTAATATACCAGCTTTTATATCTCAGTAAGTTTTCTAGTTTATTTCAATCATCTTTGAATTTTTAGTTTATTTTAATTAGCTTTAACAGTTTCTACTTGTTAAAACTCGGCAATCCCTTGTGCAGTTCTGGTCAGATTGCTTCACTTGCTTTTTTACTTGTCCATGGGACTGATTTGGAAAACAGATCAAGATATTATAACTAGGGCTGAAGGTTTGTCGCGGCGCGAATTTTCGCGAAATTGTCATCTTTTTTCCAAAAATCTGCGAATTTCTCAATATGTCTTGACTTGCACGATAATTGCTTAAAATTTGATTATTTATTTATTTATTATTTTTATTAAACAGAATTTTTTATTTTCCTGAACCTTAAATTGAACATGTAAAATTGATTAGATATTTAGGGCAGTGAATCAATAGCAAAATGACATGAAAATAGTTCAGAGGTAATCACAATCTTGTCAACTAAGGTGGTCTTTCTACACTTAGGGAGGGTAATTACCTTCCTGAAGTCAGTAAGAGTACAAAAGAAATTGAAATCACAAAAGAAGGAAAATATTATAAATCAAATCTCTGACAGAAAAATTGTTATACATGTTATTGCACTGGGCAATGAAATTTCTACTGCCTTTCTACATATCCAGTTAATTTTTCCTAGTTAATTCTTGTGATTTCTTAAATATGGATCAGTTTCTTAGATGAAGGGGGGACTAGTAGTTAGTAGGGTCTTGTAACTAGTAGTTTGAATGTAGAATGTTTGAGTTTTCACAGCAATTACTTCTTACAAAGCAACGGTCAAGGAATTGCGCGTTGGTGAAGGAAAATTGATCGAGTTTTGGAAATCNTCACAATTCTTCTACCGTTAGATTTTGCTTAACTAAATCACCTGGTATCAACCAATGTATCAGAAAAATTCTTAATATAAAATGGTTTTACAAAATATCTATCAATTGATTATTTAAAATCAGTAAGCAAATGCCAATAGAAAAGAAAAAAGGGAGCGCAAATAAGGATTGGACACACTATCAGAAAAATTCAAAGCAAAACAGGCGCTGGACACTCCAATGTAAACGAAAAAGGGACAGACCTAAAATGACATGAGTTACAGACAATAGACAAAACATAGAGAGAGATAAAGTGCTTGGTCATCAACAGAGTGAGAGGTAGAGTCGTAGCAAAGGCCCTTGTATAGGCCTCAAACCAAAGGCCCTAAGTGTAAGAGAGAGAAGAAGAGAAATTACCCGGTGCAATAAAAAAAAAATATCTAGCTTTGGTATAAAATAAATCAACTAATGTTCTCTCAGCTTGTGCAGTTCTTCATAAAGTCACTTCACTACTAAGTGATGCAATTTTTTGAAAAAAAAAATGACTCAAATAAAAATTGGTGTATGATATAAAAGTCAAATTGAACAAAAACAAAGTTAAATTAATTTCATACACAAAAAAAATAAAAAAATAAATAAATAACAATACCATAATTTAAAGATGTCACTGGAGCATTCGATTACTTTTTATACATATGATTTAAGAAGATTTATCTTAAATTTAATTTTATAGTTAGACATTGGTATCAGAATTAATATGAAATATGCCATGGATTTTATGTAAATTATGACTGTCTTACTCAAATAAAATCTAAAAGAAAGCCTATTGCTTACTTGAATCATTAGAAGTTCCTGCTGATGGGTTGTTCGGTGAACTTTCAGATTTTATAACTTTTTCTTCCACAGACTTCTGAGATCGCGTAATGTGAGAAATTAAAGCTTTATGCAAAGTTTGTAGTTTTGGTGATTTGAAAGGTAAAACTTTCAGTTCATGAAAATTCAATTTGCACAAATCACCTATAGTTTTTATATCTCGAGAAAGTAGAAGGGGCTCTAATGCTTGCACCCTGTAACAAACACGCAGATAATATATTAAAGATAAGCATTGAAAATAGGGAAAATGACACTTTATTACACTGGAGATAAAAAAACAATAATATACACATATAGAGTAGGAGCCCACATTATCTACAGGGTGACAAAGGCTCAGCGGATAACAAAAAACTCAAGTAAAGTGGAAACACAAATAATAAGTTTAAAAATGTATTCATACATGTGTAGATATTTCAAATTCAATCTTTGTTTCATGTCTAAATCACTTAAAAAACAAATGGTAAAGAAAATATTAGTTCATATATCCTTTATAAAAGTTTCCAGTTACACTTTTTTAAAAAAGATCAATGAATGATCAAGTGCCATACGATTAATGATCTCTTTACGGATAATACATAAAGGGGATAATCCACTAGCGAATAATCGGGGGCTCAACAGTAGATATTTTAATAATAGCTGTTCAATATCATAAGGTTACTAATCTTCAATTCTAAGGTCTGCTGTTTCACTTTTTTTTGTTGTTTATCTACTTAATTATCTTAAGATTTTTTGAAGTGCTAACAAGTACACACAATACGGATTCGGCCTACAGAATTCCAGTTTCAAAGGATTGTTTATTTACAAGTATACAGAGATGGGTTATGCAGAAAAGATTTAGACTCACCAAGTTTCTTTCTTATGTACTACGAATACTCAATATGTGCACCTTTGGACACTCAACACACATCCTAATGGTATTTTAGTTTTACCCATCAATTTGACATCTTCCTATTTATGTATGTCACAACATAAGTGATGTGTTCTTGCAGCATTGTTGACATTGAGGGTACATAAACTTTGTCCTCCACAATTTGGAATAAGGGGTACGCAAACTTGTAGAGGACAAAGTTTATATACCCTCAAAAAAATAAAATAAAAAAAGACAGTAGGAAAGCATCACTGCCATGACGGTTATAAGTAGAAACACACAATAGAACAGAACCGAATGATCATAGTGATGTGTGTCAGATGACTATGGTTGCCCATTAAGGTGAACACAAAATTTGTAACATGTAACATAAACTGGTGAGTATATGTAACATTCATACATTCATCTGGATAAATTATTTTGGATATATTCTAAGCAGTTGAATACAAAAATGATAAAAGGAAAGAGGAAATTGTTTTAAAATGTAACTTAGATTGAATATGTATAACTGAATACTTAGCAGAAATAAGAAAAGATATATTTTACCATATTTAAACAGTAAGAGTATAGATACCTGTCATAAAAATAATGTTAAATCCTAATTGCCATATTGAAATAAAAATTAGTGTTGAAAATTTCAGTACTTTAAGCAAATTTATTTGTTAATTAAAAAAAGAATAAAAACTCAATGAAAATTGAATTTAATTATTATGAGTTATCCCAATCTTGAACACTTTGTAGAAAGAGCATCAAATATTATATAATTTTTAGCTGTTAGTAAATGAAAGCTGAATAAAAACAATCTTAATATTGGGTGGTATAAAACCGTGGAAATCTGAAATTTTGAGAAAAAATAAGAAAATAAAATTTTTTAAAAAATAGTATATTTTATGTTATTTTTTTCAGAAAAAGGGATAATTATTAGGCCTCCAAGAATCTTTCAATGTTTGTGTGATTCACTTCGTTGCTGACATGAAGCCTGTTTTGCCATGGTTGAGCTTTGAACATTGACTAAACAAAGGATTCTTGGTGCTTTATTATTTATCTTTATTGTATTCTTTACTTTTGCAGAACAGGCACTCTCTTGCGGTTCACCCTTTGCTTCCAATTCTACATTGTATGAATTCTTTCTTACTCCCTCAGACTACTTTAGTTATATCCCCTTTCGCAATTATGAAGTCTAATTTTGTAGCACCCATGTATTATAACTATAGCCATAGTTAGATAACATAGACGCAAGCAGATACATAGGTGGAGATTCTCCAATTTTGTCGATACATTTTTAATATTTATTGTAATATTTAAAAAAAAGTATCCGAGAGTTAAAAAAAGTTTGCAAGAGGGGGGGGGGATATGAAGCAGAAGGCATAATCATGATTCATGCAAGGTAGAAGAAAGTCAGTAATTAGTTGTATGTATGCTGCTCCCAAAGAGAAAAGATATTACTGCCACTTTAGTGCAAAGCTTAGCAATCCCATTGTTAGCGGTCGAGCCTACAACCAGCTGATTGTTTACAACTCAACTCAATTCGACTATCCTTTCCAAGGAAAATAGACGAAATATATATTTTGTCAAGAATAAATAAAAATATTAAATAGTTAACTCACTTCATATATTTAATAAAACTATTATATTACAGGGGTGATTCTGAGCCCAAGTCAAAATTCCGGAAAATTTCTTGAGTTAAAAAAAAAGTTTAAATCGAAAAATTTGAAAAAAAATTTAAACAAGGTTTTAACTTTCGTGATCAATTATTTTTTGAAACATCTGAACCTTCGATCTCCGGAAACTTCCGGACCACAGTTAGTGAAAAATCCGGATTTTTTCCGGAGCACAATCAGCCCTGATATTATCAAAAATATTATGAGCTTGCAGATACTTTTGGATTGTGTGAGCAGATATTTTATGTTTTTATCTTACTACGACTAAAGAAAGAGTCGATTTTAGAATAGTTTAGTGCAAATATGTCTTTTTGGGAGAAATTATACACCATGATTCATTTCGGAGCATCACTATAAAAGATGTATTTGTAATTTGTTTTAATTAGATTTACATACCATGCAGGAGATGATAAGTCTTTTAAAATGCAACTTATATCGTCCTGGCAATTTATTAAAGCTGGTGATACAGGGTTGGGGTTATATACAGTAACGTTATCAGAATTCTGATACTCTGAAGAGGATGATACACTATCCGCAGATGATGATACAGGAGCATCATTCAGTTTTGGAGTCTAAAATTAAACTCACTATAAGTAAAAAATACATTGCAACAATACATATTTGTTTAATAAAATTTGTGTTTTAATAAATTAATATTTTTATTTCAAACAAAAAGATTAAATATAACACTATGCAAACTCTAACCTTCTAGGTTGTCAATTATATAAAATAGATTGAGGAGAAAATACAGGGTAGGTAGCCAAATCTTTCAACAAAAATAAGCCCCTCTTTACATGATCAAGATAAAATAATTAGTTTCTGACAAAGAATTCTTGATTATATTAGCCACCATAAAGAGATCGAGAGATTTTCAAAGGGTGGAAAATGACGTCTGAATTTGAGAATTATCTTGCAAAATGCAACTGAGTTGCACATGAGAGAGCAAGAATCTCGCAGAACCCAGCTCAGTATACGCACACGCAGACACGCAAGTATTTCATCAAACATGTAAAATTATTGGCACTTTCATACCCTACGAACCGACGGTACACTGAAATACAATGTGTTTGAATGAATTGTGAAAACGTTGAATAGAACATTGTGAAAACCATGCTTTTGCATAATATGTGGCAAAAATCGACAGGATAAAAAGATAACTCATTTTTGGAAAGGGAAAATTGAGCACTTTTTAAAAACAGCCAATAAAAAAGCACCTTTAAGGGCTTTTAAAAAATGAAAATAAGCACCTTTAAGCATTTTTTAAAAATGCCATGAAATACTAATAAATATTATACACATTCAAGCAATGGGTGGCTATGGAATTACAAGGGCTAAAACAAAACACAATACCAGCGATTACAATAAATTCTGCAAAGTACTATAGAACCATTAAAAAAAAAGTTAGTAGCATTTTCTGAAAGATTACAATATGTTTTTTTTTTACCTAGCGCTAGGGTGCTTGAGACATGAGATTATAAAAAATTCAAAATAAATAAAGAAACATGATGATATTAAAATATTTAAGAATTACCTTCTCAGGTGAGGATGAATTAATTGCTTCTTTTTCATTTGTTTTTAAATTTACAGTAACAACTTTAACACAAATAGTATCATCACTTCTGAAAAGTTTTTCTTCCACAAGAGGGTAGGCAAATGTTACTTTCCTCATCTGAAAGGATTTCATTGAAAAAAATATTAATATTACAAACTATTAATATTACAAAAAATATTAATATGACAAACTATTAATATTACAAAAAATATTAATATTACAAACTATTAATATCACAAAAAATATTAATATTACAAACTATTAATATCACCAAAAATATTAATATTACAAACTATTTAAAGATTTAAAAAAAAACTCAAAAGTATAACGAGCAAAAAAAAAAATTTTTTTTTTTGCTATGCCACTTTTGCAATAAAAATATGCATTATGCTCGGTGAATTGTTACGCAAAAATATTAAACACTAAAAGATTTTAAGGTTTAAGGACTTAGATTTCCTGGAAACATAATTTATACATATTTAATTACAAATATATATAATTATGTAATTAAATCAATCTCATTTGTAACAGAAAAGAGAAAATTGATTTAAAGTTTTTGAAATCTTCATTTTGAGCACACAATTTATCATATAAATCACACGTAACTACTAATTAGTAACACACCTGTCAAAAATTTAGTTATAAATTAGTATTATTAAAAAAATTAATTTATAAGTTAGCATCCTTTAAGCTTAAAATATCCCCTTTTTCTATACACCAACAAACGAAAGTATCACACTTTTTCTACGATTGCAATTGGATAGCAAACAGTACGAGATATATAAATAAAAAGCCTATCCATACAAATTTTTATCCATTTATTGTTTTAAATAAACCTGGCAGTTTTGTGTATATTTATTGGTAGTCAGCATATAAAAATTTTATGTAGGTTAATTTAAAACACTTCAGATACTTTTATTACCTTAGAAAGATGTTTTTCAGGGTCGCATTCATTTCATCGACAATCACTTCATCGACACACCATTTCATTGACAGGCCGTTTCATCGACTAGGTCATTTCGTCGACAGGCCGTTTCCTCGACAGGGTTGTTTCGTCGACAGGCCATTTCGTCGACAGGGTCATTTCGCCGACAGGGTCATTTTGTCGACAGGGTCGTTTCGCCGACAGGGTCATTTCGTCGACAGGGTCATTTCATCGACAAGTGATTTCGTCGACAGGGTCATTTCGTCGACAGGGGTCATTTC